ACGGTCACACTCTGCCATCGGAACCTGCCAGTAACCTGAACGTAAGTCCAGTGAAGAAAAGAATTCGGCACCTTGTAGGCAATCGATAGCATCGTCGATGCGGGGAAGAGGGTACGCATCTTTCCGTGTAATTTTGTTCAGTCGCTGGTAGTCGACACAAAATCTAATCGAGCCGTCTTTTTTCTTCACTAGCACAACAGGTGAAGACCAGGGGCTAGAAGATTGCTTGATGACACCGCGCTGAAGCATATCGTCCACGTTCTCTGCAATTACACTTCGTTCCTTGGGTGATACGCGGTAGGGGCGTTGCCGCAAAGGAGGGTGCGTTCCAGTGTAGATTGTGTGAGCAACGGTGTTACAGTCGAACCTCGATATATCGAACGGTGCGGCGATCGCGAAATAGTTCGATATATCCAGAATTCGATATAAAAAAAATTACGAAAAAAATGCGTCAACAGCTTGCTGAAAACAACCAACGAACCGTTCAAGTGTGGTGCAGTAAATGCTCACTTGAAGATTCAAACATAGTATTTATTGTGTTGGTTTAAAATATTGAAAAAGAGTAGCCTGCTTTTTGTTGGCCATGGCGTGTTTGAGGACTGCGTCCTCAATATAGTCCAGGCGATCCATAAGTGATAAGCCAGTGCCTTCGATCGCGCCGCAGTGGCGGCGCACAAGGGCCAAGGCAGCTACGACCTCAGCTGATGTCGGGAGCGGGGCACCATTAGCACTTGCGGGATCCACCTCGTCAGTCTTCATTTGGCTGCTCAGCAGTAGCTTCGGCGACAATCTCCACATCCGTGAGCTCCGCCGTTCGGAGTTAGGCCTGTCGCGCACCACAGCGCGCAACAAGCCTAATTCCGAACGCACGAACCCTGCGAGCACAACGACCGATGCCTGCCGATGCTACGGGGGAGGAGCTTGCAACAAGTGGTGGTGGTAGTGATTGTAAGGATGAGGAAAAAGGCACCTAATTTCTGTCTGCCTTCAGGCGACATGGCGCAGTGCCTTATAGGGGTGGGGGAAAGGAGGGATAAAAAGAATAGAAGGAAAATAGATGAAGAAATAGACAGGCAAGCCACGGAAAAAAGAAGGAGATAGGAAAGTGGGGGTCCGGTCGAAGCAGTCCAAGGGCAGGGCGCCACAATGCGAGAGCTGCACGGCGTCAGGAGACCGCAGAGGGCGAACCAGTCGGCGGGAGCTACGCTGGCGTCGGAGATTGTGAGGGCACAACCATCCAGCTTGAAATCCTGCGAGCGAATCCTCCCAACAAGTGCGCAGTGGGCTGTTGACAACATCGAGACTGCAACGGCTGCAAGCAGCAAGGCTGCGGCGCGTGTACGCCGCTACCTTAAAAGTGGCGCTCTCGAGGGCATCGATGTGTGCAGCATTCGTAAATGCCCGCCGCTCTACCGCTACTTTCGAGAGTTGCGGGAAAGCTCGCCGCCTGTCAATGGAGCGCGGGCGATTTGGGGTAGCTGAGTTTGATATATTCATTATACGTCAAACTTTGTTCGAAATAAAAATCAATAATGCATGCGATTTCCCGCGTGATATAAGAACCGCTCGATATAGGCAATAATTCGATATATGCGTGTTCGATATATTGAGGTTTGACTGTAGTTTCACTCAGTGCCTTTTGAGGAAGGTCAAATGAATCACGGAATTCATGCAGAAGGGTTATTAGCTGGTTCCATTGATCCAGAGGAAGCTTGCTGTCGATAGAACGATTGAAGATATCCGAGGAGTAGTCATCCCGCGTAAAAAAAGGAGTAACAGTGTTAAGTTGAAGTTGCTGGCCAACGTGGTGGGACTCAATAGGCACAATAGCGTTGTCATCAACAGGAAGAACATAGCCCAGTGTTTCGTGAGCTCTTAAGATGAGAGGGCATGAGCTGGGAATGCAAACGACAATTATTAAAGTATCTTGGTGAGGTGGCAGAACGGGGTATGGCAGAGACGTACCGTGGTGGCGACTGAAAACGTCAGATGGGGAGAACACAACGGTAGAGCCGGACAATTCAGTGTGATTGACGGGGACAACGATGGCACTAGGAGGGGGAACATCTGTGTCGGAAGCAACAAGAAGCTTGCCGAGGTGAGTGAGCTCATTGTCGGTAGATGGCGCATCAGAAAACACAAAAAATTTCACCTGCGCGCGAGCGCAGTCAATTACGGCATGGTGGCGTGACAAAAAATCCCATCCAAGTATCACGTCGTGGGAACAAGTGGCCAACAAGAGAAACTCGATGTGGTACAGGACGTCCTGAATGATTACTTTCGCCGTACATGCTCCGGCTGGTCGAATAAGTTGCGCGCTCGCGGTATTCAGCAATACGTCGGAAGGCGTTGTCGGTACTTTTCGTATCGAACGGCAGAGTTTTTTACTCATCACAGATACGGCGGCACCCGTGTCAACAAGCGCAAGAGTTCGTAGACCTTCAACAAACAGTTCCAGAACGTTTGTGGGGGACGGACGAGGACTTCTACAATGCGACGATTTCGCAGCTCGTGCCTCCGGAGCTGCGGCAGTCAGTTTTCCGTCTCTACGAGGTTTGGTCGTCGACGCAGCAGGGGACGGTAGCGGCGTGGTGAGGATGAGCGACGGGGAGCGAATGGTCGGTAGTCGGCAGCAGGGTGGTGGTCTATTTCAGATGGGGACGGGTTGCGTTGCACTGATTGTCGTTCGCATTTACGGGGCACTTCTCGTTGCGCGTTGTACGGGGCCGGGAAAGAGTCGTCAGAATACCTCGGGGCTGAAACCGTGCCCGTTACGAAGCGCCGGCGACAGAAGCGCGCCACGTGACCTGGATATCCGCATGCGTAACAGATTGGACGATTGTCAACTGTGCGCCAAGGGTTTCCGTTATAGCGCTGTTGTGTTGCTGGCAATGGCGTCGTTGGTACTAATAGAGGCTGGGGAGTCGGCCGAAGTGGAGGTCGTGGTGGAGTAGCAGCAACAGCAGCGTAAGTAAATGGCGCGGTGACAAGTGTTGTCTGAGAGACGGACGGCAGTGCCTCAGGAGACCTGCGCCTGTATTACCTGTCTGATGGCGGGCGCGAGACGCTCAGAAGAGGGTTCCGTTGCCGGTTGATACGACAGACACAAAAGTTGTCGGGCCACCTCCTCGCGCACATATCATTTGATTTCCGACATGATTGTGTTGTGGTCTCCACCTAGAGTCAATGTCGCAAGAGTTTCATCGGTGGCCGCTGGCCGCCGTGTCATGACCCGTTGTTTGCGCAATTCCTCGAAGCTCTGGCAAAGAGTGGCGAGTTCGGGCACGGTACGGGGGCCCTTGGCCAGCAGCATCTGGAAGGCGTCGTCGTCTATCCCCTTCATGATGTTGTAGTGCCATCATCATCGCCATCGTTTCTTGATCACTGCGCCGCGCCTCTCGCGCAGCTGATGCTAGCTCGAGCTGCGCGAGGTTCAGAACGAGCTCACGCACCTGGCGCGTTGGACGTGGACAGCCACCGCGGCTCCGCTTCAGGCGTGGAATAAAGTGGCGAGAGAACGACACGACTACGTTGGCCGCCGTCTCGTCTTCCTCTCTCGCTACATTGGTGACCCGGACGTGATCCTATTCTACCTCGCGGTCGTGATCATGTGCAGGAGTGGATGTTTCTGCGACCGGATCAGGTGTAGAAGTAGTCGAAGCCGGGGTACCGAGGTAGCGGTCAATGGAGGGCTGCGGACCGGTTCCTACCTTGCTCTGCGACGCCGGGGAAACTTGCCTGGTGCGGGTAAACGGAAGCGGACGGTATGTGTTGCCGCTGCGGGCGAGCACCGCAGTGCAGAGGGCATCGTAAGGCTGCGGGCTGGTGCTTGAAGTGGCAGCGAGATGGCGCAACTCTACCGGAAGGGCGTCGAGAAGAATGGCGTGCATCAGCAGCTGGTCCGTGCAACATTCAGCGCCAGAACAGCATCGAGCTGCATGAACCGTACCTTGGGGTAGGTCGATTGGAACGGCAGCGCTGGCGGGCAGAGTTGCGGGAACATGGCTGCGGGCCGCTCGGCGAAGGGCGTATTCTCCGGGTCACCAATATGTGTTTGATCTTGTCTGCTTCGATCATTGAAGGATCAAGGCGCTTGCACAAGTCGAGCACATCCTCGATGTAGCTTGTGAAGCCTTCCCCCTGAAGCTGTGCGTGTGCCCGTAGACGCTGTTCGGCACGGAGCTTGCGTACCTCGAGGCGACCGAATACATCCGTAATGCGTAGCTTAAACGCACTGCAAGTGGCGAATTCCAAGTGGTGGTTGTTAAACCAGAGACTCGCTACCCCTTTCAGGTAGAAGGGTACATATTGCAGCTTCGATGTGTCGTCCCACTTGTTGCTTGCGCCTACCTTTTCAAATGTCGACAGCCAATCTTCTACGTCTTGCTCATCGGTACCGTCGAAAAAAGGTGGATTGCGCTCGCGTAGCGCAGTGGGCACGATAACCATCAGAGGCTGGGTCATACCTTGCTGGGTGTTTTCTTTATCCATTTCTGGGATAGCAGGTAGTTTCCTTTTGCAGAGTTCCAGGTTGAGTTAACCTACACCTCCACCACTCTGAAACGGGGTTTATTGGGGCAAGTAGTACTTGCACAGCAGGTCTATTGATCCGGCAAGCGGGCGGCAGCAACGAACCCAGGAATCACAGCACTCGGGGCAAACGCTTGTGCTTGGCTCCTCTTGCTACAGGCGTGACCCACTGCGGCACATAATCTTCTTCCTCTCTACAAAAGTATCATTTAAAAACTTAATATCTATAACGGTGCCCTGATGCTCACTTGCCAGTATCAGATAGAATCACTACAGTGTTAAAGAGCTGATAAGGCCTCCTTATTTCTGTGATGAATAGCCGGGACTCACAGAAATTACCTCTGCAAAAAGAAGTTAGGTTTGCCTACATACCAAAAACAAAAACCACCTGCTCTCACTAACGTATGTGCTCTATATTAGGTGGCAATCAATGAAATAAATAAGGCTATAAAATTAAAGTATTACTGCACCTTTCTGCAGCCAAAGATAACCTCTGAAAGGCTGCACCAGAACTTGGTATAGGTGGTGTTTCTAACTTCTGGAAGGCCTGGAAAAACACACCAAATGAGCGTCAAAAAGAAAAAAAAAATAAAATTGCCACTATAATAAAGGTACAAACACTCTGGATTGATTTTCACCTCCCAAGACCATAAGGTTAATGAACATCCTATACTATTGCATTGTCATTAAAACAGATCCATATAGATGGTTTCAGAGTTTGTAAATAAACTGGTTTCTGCCAAATGTCCTGCTCAAGAGGACTTCTAGTGCGGCACTTCCGGCAATGCTCTTTCAACAGTCTTGGCAGTGTTTGCCCTGACGTGTTTGAGTTGGCTGCTCTATTATTTCTTGTGCGTTCCTTCATATGTGGTTAGAGTTTTGTCTAGCCACTACATGAATGGGCTCGATGGCGTCGCATGGGAGAAGTACAAGCAGAAAATGCACGAACTAGCAAAGAATAGTTGCCCAATCCACTGGATAGGGAAGTTATGCAATGAAGCTTTTCGACTAGAGCTCACGACCTGCTCCCCGTCAAAGCCACGAACACATTTATGTGTTTTTGTCGAAGCTCACAACTTCACGATGAAATGCTGATTTCTGCACCTGTGTCACACTGGCAATTTTATAGAGATCAGCACCGATGAAAATCACTCACGATATGAAGTGTTCGGAATGCTTGAGAAATTATAAAATGCCGTCACTGAGTAATGACATCAACTGCACTTGAGTCACGCAAACTACTATGGTTCACTCAAGAGTAAACTATTCATGAACTATCGAGCGTTCATGTTTTGAATCCATAGTAAACACTCGCACTGAAAGATAACTTAGCTAGAATTCGACGATGGTCGTTAGTGGCAGCAAGACAGGAAATGAGTCATTCACTCGTTAACAGTGGAAGCCATTGACACGCGTAGAGAGACAACATGAAAAGAGAGCCCCAAGCAATGAACGACGCAGCATGCACGAGAATGCTCTCCATAAATGAACGAGCTTTCTACTGATTTATGTAGCCCTTCCCAATTCAGTTATTACTTTTCTTCTTCCAAATTCCAACCCCTGCCTTTCATCATTTGGCTCTTGCTGACAATGTCCCTCCCGCTTGCCCGATGACTTATACGAGGTTGGCAAGACATTTCATAAAGTTAAAGTGAAATGCAGTACAGTTAAACCTGCCTATAAAGAACCTCCGTATAGGAATTCCTCAATACTGCAACATTTCTTTATTCTCTGCTGTTATGCGCTCCAGAGAAGCACATGTTCTTGCAACCTCTATGTAACGAAGTAACAGCGGGAGACATCCTTGATGCAACAAATTTTCGCCACAAACAATCTAGAAATATTGCCCCAGATTTTGCCATTTGGGCACGAGCTTGCATCTTCCACGGCTTGCCCCGCAGCCGACGAAGCGCGAAGAGGCGGCGGCATTGCTCGGCGACTTTCAAGTGAGAACGAACGCTCGTTATTGCACATTATTGTGCGTGGGTGTGCGCGAGGCGTGCAGGTGGGCTTACTACGCCCCTCAAGTTAGCGTTGCCGCCGTTATTGCTGCTGCGGGCACATGTGCGGATGTGCTCTTCCCTTCCCCTAAACCAAAAACAAATAAGAAAGCTACTTTTGCGTAAGCAGTGCCCCTCTTCGATTGCTGCAAAAGTCTCTGACTTGCACGTTAAGAGACACTGGTGATGCCACTTTGCGTTGTAACGCTTTTAGTTAATGTCACGTATGTGAGGCCGCGCTTCATATGAAGAGCGCTTTACCGAATAGTCTTCCGTGGTATGCGTGTCGTTCACTCTTCATTTTCGGTGCCATGTGTGCATGCACGGTTTTACAGCGTGCAGCGTTTTACAGCGGTTTTACAGCGGTTTTACAGTATACTGCCCGACGACGTTCAGCGTTGCTTTTTTATTTTTTGCTAATGCAACCAACTGCGTCATTACTAACGAGAAGATGCTAGATTAGGCACTGCAGAAAACTCTCAGAGTTTCCGTGGTGACCACAACAGATGTTCGGTGGTCAACTGGCACTCACATCAACTGCCCAGAGGACTATGTCTTTAAGCTTCTGTGCTGTGTCATGCAAGTAGGCAGGCAGGATCATGTATGTGCCGCAGAAGTTCTCCAGCTTCCTGTCCAACTCCTTGAGAAGCGGAGCAGACTCAGGCAAACTCCGAAGGTACGTCAGGGACCTGCAAAGGAACAGCAGTGAGGGGCACACCGAATTACCAAGTGCTAGCCTTCTACATCACCTTTACACAGTTGATACATCAAGTCAACAAGCCCTTTCTCAGGGACAACTAAGTAGTTGTCTCAATTAAAAAGCAATGCTAATGAGAGTTAACTGCTCTTGTTACCTTGTACGTCACCCCAAGCAAAGTTGCTAGTTTATAGAATGCTCATCAGGCAAAGATTACAATATGCTAGGGCTGTACAGAACCCTTATCAGTATAACCACCAAGATGCTATGCCCAAACTCGCTCAGCATCGAGCTGTCGTGAAGTGCGTTCTTTCTGTTTACTGCACGCCCAGCCCACACATAAAAGACAATATGTCCGGGCTTTGCATTTTTCACAAATTCTGTTGTCCACCATCCTCCACACCACTCCATTATCAATCCTGTAACATGGGATTACAAAGTTTTATAAAAATAGCCACGCGGAAATCCATGTCCTATGGTCCATGAATGAGGTTGTGCTTTATATCAACGTGGTACTGCTTTATTTCTATACTATTTTGTTATTGCTACATCTAGCATTTTATCCAGCCAAAGGAATAATGATCTTGACCCCGCATGCTAACCATAACATCCATTTTTCGCTGTGTACATTTGGCAGTAATAATAATAATAATAATAATAATAATAATAATAATAATAATAATAATAATAATAATAATAATAATAATAATATGTGGGGTTTCACATCCCAATACCACCATATGATTATGAGAGACGCTGTAGTGGAGGGCTTCGAAAACTTCGACCACTTGGGGTTCTTTGCCGTGCACCGAAATCCGAGAACACGGACCTTACAGCATTCTCGCCTCCATCAAAAATGCAGCCGCCGCAGCGGGGATCACATTTGGCATTCACTACTTTGCCAGTGCCACAACCGACAGGGACAAGGTAATCAACAGCGAGCACTAGTGAGCTCACCGGTAAGCGTTAGGCATTTAGAATTGGAATTTTCAACCTAACATGTTCGAATAGAAGCAAAAATTTTAAAAACTAGAGTTCCTTCCAGAAAAGAGATACACCTTCAAAAACACCGATCTCGATATGGCTACGATGCTCTAGCATGCTGCATCAGCGAACACAAGAGAAAACGGCACCTATAAGGTTGACTTATGCACACCACAAACCTGCATGCCAGTGGAACTCCAGCAACTGCCATCGTACCATTCGAATGGTGTGATTAGAGCAGCATTTATTTAATCTTTAGTTCAGTCCAGCAAACAAACAAGCCCACACTAAGGTTTGGTTGATGCCTTCCCTGCTTAGTAAGAACCCCGTGCACTGTTTACGTTCTAAGTACAAATGTCCCTTTACATTGTAAGTGTCCTGCTCAGTAGATTGCCCATGCACTCCTGACATTCCAAGTATTATAAGCAGCCCATACGTGGGCCAATTCAAGGAGCAAATAATAATATCTGGGGTTCCCTGTCCCACACCAGCAATATCATTATGAGGCACGCCTTAGTGGAGGGCTCCCAAAATTTCGACCAGCCCGTGTTCTTTAACGTGCACTGACACTGCAAAGTACATGGGCCTCTACCGTTTCGCCTTCCATAGAAATGCAACCGCCGCGGCCGGGATCGTACCCGGGACCTGTGGATCGGCAGCCGAGCACTTTAGCCACCGATCCACTGCGGCGGACAATTGAAGGAGCAAAGGTTCTCCCTGCAAGTAGTCAACAAATATGTTAAACAGAATCTCACATAAACCCAAAGGGACTCTGAAAGGAAGCTCACTCTTTATGAGACAGAAACTTTTCCAAGTCTGCTGGCGTGAGAGAACCGTTGGCTTCCTAGGGAAAAAAAGAAAGAGCATGCAGGTGGGAATGCAATATTTGGAATATATATATATTTTAAAAAGTTGCCTTATGTTTTCAAGTGACTGTACGAAACAGTCGATACACTTACCATGCCCGAATCGGCCGACGCACCTTCAAAAGGCTTGCTTATGGTCAGAACTCTGTACTGCTTGTACTTCTGCAATCAGATTACAGAGCAGCTACATTACACTACAGCACATTATAAGTCTTTCGAGGTGAAGGAGGCTTATGAATATTTCAAGCACGAACTATCACATGACAAGTGCCATGTTCTAATGGCAGCTTCAGTCCCCCCCACCCCCATACAAAATACCGACATTTCCAAACACTAATAACAATTTTTCTCATATTTTACATGGCACAATCACCTCACTGATCAAAATGCTATGACACTGCAAGCTATACCACAATGAGCGAGTCTATGATAGGACCTGTTAGAACAATTTAAGTTCTAGTAATGGGAACAACTTTTTTTTTATGCAGGAATTCCAGGTTGCAGGCGGTACTACCGTTCAAAGATTGCACTTCAGTTTCAGAATAACAAATTCAACACCATTACTCTTGAAGCACTTTTCAAGCAAATTTTTTAAAGTACTAGAGTGTTTACCTAAAGGTCCAAAGACTCAGTAATCGATCTGGCATGCGAAGTGCATTTGAAAAACAGAGTCAGAATGTTGTGACTAAGTAATGGTTCGTCCAAAGAATTTCACGTTTTTTCATTTGTACATTATTTGCATGCCTTTCCATGTCATAACTAGCAATACATTCATTTTTCTCTTTAAAAAAAAATTGTAGCCGCAAGGTTGACTCACCAAAGAAGCATGCTTTTGTGGAAGCATTGTCTTGCCTGTTGACAAGCCAACAGGGCCATCAATCATAAACATGAATTGCCTTAGTTGGAATGTTCTTTCTACTGCAGTTGCAATAAACAGCCCATGCCCAAATACCGATTCGATACCCACGCAGGAACACGCTATTCTTAATTGTAAAAAAAAGAAACTGAAGGAAGCATGAACGTTACAGCCAGAATACTTAGCCTATAATATAACTATTCATACCTTTGTTGAGTGTACACATATTAATAACCATGTGAAAGAACGTACATTAAGACATGTACTTTACTTACATAAAAATCTTACACACATTAAGCTGCTCAACAACATAAAGAACAATTCTGCAAAGCTGGAAGCACGAATATTTCTATAGCGAGTGTAAACTAGGCACACTGATCACATGTGCTAGTAAAATCACCTAAAATGTCACGCATTAAGAAAAAAAAAGGGCTCAGTTAAAGCGTGAATGAATAGCGAACCTCTCAACTTTTTCTGAAAACACTCTTATGAAGGATACCATACCCTGTTGTAGCAAAGCTCTTCGCCGAGAATCTTCACAGTGAACTCGTTAGGAAAACCTAGAGGGCAAAAAAAAGTAATATTTGTTTAGAAGAGCTGAAGAAATAAAACATGCATGCATGAAATGCCTCTGACATGAACATGCTGAGATTCTATGTGCTCGTGCTATGTGTGTTGCATATTCAATGCACCTATTCATTATGCATATTGCGTTGTTACGGCTGATAAACACAGTGACTTAATAAAAGGCTGCTAATGGACCAATGGGACCAAAGTTATCATGAAAAAATACATTTTCTAAGGGTCCATTTGCATTTACAATATCTATAAAGGACAGTTGTCAGTAGCTGTCATCAAGGATCATATTTCTCCTTTCACCTGAACATGGCACACCAGAGTATTATTGGCATGACATTACAGATATTGAAAAAGTTTTGCTTCAGAAGTTTTTCATGCATTAGTTCTAAAAAAATCGCTTTAACAACTGTCTTGTTCCCTCAGAATGCAGCAAAATTCTAAACACATCAATAAAACTTATTATCCGTTTCTGAGATTACGCCCAAGTTACATAGTGCCGCAAGGAGCTTGCAAGGCCACGTGTTGTTCGCCTGCGACCATAGGTCGGCAAATAAACTGGAGCTCAGTCAGACTCCCTCAGCAAATATATTTCGCTCTGGGAGGCTCCCTCGGACTTTAAAGTTAGTTTTTAAGGACGACAGTCTTTCTTGAGGACCTTCGACGCAAAAATTTTGGTCTGTCTGTCTGTTTATCTGTACATTTGTCTGTTTGTCCACTCTTAACAGCATCAGGTATTTGAATTGGCCGACCCCATCCGCAGCGCCCACCTATGTTGCTCAAGATTCAGCGTTAATACTTGTGCAATTGTCGATTAAGAAGAAATTATTGCGCGTGTCTGGGGCACCATAACAACTATGTATATATTCTGCATGTGCACATTTCACTAGAAAAGGCATACATAAGTAATTTTAAGGACCGTAGCGCTTATCATGCTGCACTGACCATCCAACGCTTGCACGGAAAGGTGAGTGTTTCCAACGCTTTGCTAAAACGAGACGGTGACAGCACCTACCCCTTGCCTTGCGTTCTACACCTTATCACCTCTGAGGCGGGCACGCACATCCATCCCGGAGCCACGTGCTTTGTTTTTAAAAAAAGCCTGCCAGATGGCGGTCATGTCTCATGTGCGACGTGACTTGATGCACTCGTTTGCCTCCGCTGCACGCTCGAGGCACTTTAATGCAGTGCCTCCAGAATACCATTCACCGATTTTCTTGAGCAGAACATCAAATAAATGTTTTGTTCACTCTCTCCACACGCAAGACTATCGTGTTTCGATGACTTTTGCAGATTAACTGCCAGATTAAATACAGGGCCAATTTTTCACCTTTGTGTCAGTGCTTGTTTGCCAGTAATTTCTCACATAATTGGTGCTCTATGTTATGCCATTTGATTTTGTCCCTTCAAATAGGAGTTACCAGTTTATATCATGTAAGCATATCACAATAAAATATGCGACTCGCAGAAGATAGTATTACCAAGAACTTTCTGTGAAAGAAATTGTGGTGTGAGCTTATGCAGCCACTTCCCCTTAAAGGGGAAACTAAAGAGGATCAATGACTTGGTTTAGATTTGTCAAACTGCCCTCTGAGAACTCTAATGTAATACGTTTCACTATCATAAGTTCATTTTTAGAAGAGAAAATCAAGGCTGAAGTTTAATTTTTAAGCATCTTGCTTGAAATCTCTGTGCATGACATGAGAATTTCAAAAAGTACTTTCAGCACCTTCTTGGCATTGGCTCAATGAAATTTTTCGAAACTTTATCTGCTAAGTCTATGGTACACAAAGATTACAATGTACTTAACATTTATCTATTGGAAGCTACGTAGGATTCGGTGGACGCCATCGAAATTTCTGACGTCACAGTGTTTGGTCCGGGAATTTCAAGGTGGTGTCGCCACCGGCTTTTTCTTTTCATGCGTTTTCTCGCTTACTAAGTGTCGTGTCATGATAAGAGTGGTACTTTCGGGATTGTCGAATCGTACTTTACTAATGCGCGAAAAATCGTTTTCCTTTTTAATGTCCCTTTAATTAACTTCTCTGAATAACAAATATTGAAGTGGCGCATCAACACTAGTGAGTTGAGATATATTCACATACATTTGAGTATGGAGGTGAGCGAATTTAAGGCTCTTATCAATGCTGAAGATGAGTGAAAAGGACCATAGGTGGGCAATAAAAAGTGGAGCTCACTCACACTACTTCAATTAATGATAACAGAAAATGATTGTCTGTTCTCATTATTAGTGTTCTAAGAAAATAAACAAGCTCTTACGATTACACTTCTTTCTTTAAGACTCCCTCAAGCAATATATTTTGTATTTAGGGCTCACTTATGGTGTCATCGCTTGGCGGATTTGGAGTGACCGACGAACTCTGCGCCGGAGCCCTCCACACTGGTAGAGCGCAACGGAAGGGGATCTACCAATGGAACACATGCCCTCCCACTGGAGCAAATGGCAAGGCCAGAATAAAATGCGAAGCACACGTCTCTGGTGTCATCGCTTGGCGGATTTGGAGTGACCGACGAACTCTGCGCCGGAGCACTCCACTCTGGTACAGCGCAACGGAAGGCGATCTACCAATGGAACACATGCCCTCCCGCTGGAGCAAATGGCAGGGTCAGAATAAAATGAGAAGCACACGTCTCTGGTGTCATCGCTTGGCGGATTTGGAGTGACCGACGAACTCTGCGCCGGAGCACTCCACACTGGTAGAGCGCAACGGAAGGGGATCTACCAATGGAACACATGCCCTCCCACTGGAGCAAATGGCAAGGCCAGAATAAAATGCGAAGCACACGTCTCTGGTGTCATCGCTTGGCGGATTTGGAGTGACCGACGAACTCTGCGCCGGAGCACTCCACACTGGTAGAGCGCAACGGAAGGGGATCTACCAATGGAACACATGCCCTCCCACTGGAGCAAATGGCAAGGCCAGAATAAAATGCGAAGCACACGTCTCTCTTCTTGCTTGAGTGGACACGATGTGCACAGCGACACTAAGCTAGCAAAACGCGAGCTCCGACGCGAGACGAACCGACGGTACCGGTGTTCGTTGAAGTGCCCATAGATGGCACTGTTTCAAGACATGGGGTGCTTGCGACTTCCGGTCGAATCCGCTGATTTTCGCAGAGTAGAAGAAGTTGCTCCGTGGAGTGGATCTCGCAAAGGAACTACTCCAGTTCCGCCAATTGAACATAAAGTGATTACTCACAATCTGCCAAAGGAATAGATTTGTTCCTGCACTGGAGCAGAAGAAAGTATTACCGGAAGTGCTTTGAATCTGCCAATGGATGACACCATTAGACTCCAGACTGACTACACTCATGAATATTTTTCTCAACAAGACTCACTTGGATTCACATAAGTTTTCGTAAAGTGGACTCACTCAGACTCAAATCACTGTCAAGTATTTTACTTACTATCTTGCTTCTTCAAATAATTATTACATCAACTGATACCACAGATGCGATGTCAAAACATTGTAGTCCACTGCAATGCTGTGTACAACTCGAGAGACCTTATAGATCTTTTATCAGTAAGAGCATTGGAATTAATAAAGAAAAAACTCGCATGGTTAAAGAGAAATTTTTTTAACTGTGAAATCACAATGATGTATCAATAACTAAGAAGTTACACTACTAAGCATGAGGATGACAGGTAGACTTCTAGACATAGTAGCCACATTTTGATGCTACCACTAGGCAAGAATACCTGACTATGAAACAGGGACACTGTCTAGGCACAATGTCAGTATGTAGCAACTGGCCCCTCAACAGTTTGTGTTGCAAGGACACCTAAGCAAACGTTAAAGGACCCCATGAGGTAAAAATTTATCCCGGGTACCCTACTTAGGTGAGGCCCATTATTATATTATCATTTTCGACACAACTATAAAATACCACTTTTTGAGAAATTAATGGAATTTATATATTCATGGTTCTGTCAAGTAGCTGAAAACTTGTTTTGCCTTTTTACGAGTTATTTTTTGCAATATGGCAAATGCCAAAGACATATACATACCTGAAATAGCTTTTATTTCCGCTCCATCGACTTCAACACTTTTTTGCAAATTGTTTCCGGAGAATGTGTACTGCCTGCAATTAGAAATGGACAACAGCTGATATTGTTTACCTGCTTATAGCTACATTTACACATACACTGCTGTGTTTTTTCTTCTCTTTTTTTTTTACAATATAAGATGTAAAGAATTCCTCCTCACCCCTTGAAAAGTGGTGATGGCCTCAGGATATGGGCATCTAGTGAGAATGTAATGCCAAAAATAATTAAGAACTGGTCAAATGCTGTTACCTACTATCTGGAAGTTTTATTCCGCCTATATGTGTCAATAAGTGACCATTATCACGAGAATAATAAAGTATTTACGCAGTCAAAACATGACCATTGCGCATAACAGTATTAACCACCAGAATGACAAGGCATGCTCTGCATAACCATTTCAGTTTGCTCTGAACACTTAAGAATCACAGTCAGCTAAATTCCCAACTGTTACCGTAACAGGCAGATAAGGTGCGACTCGATTTCTATAATATTCGTTCCACTCACCGACGAATCTCGAGTTTATTTTCACTCCTTTTAGCGACGATGAGTGAGGTACGCATATGAGCCAGCAATTGGCTTGAGCCTCTTCGTACTTAGATCGGTACGTCGTCTGGGCAGAAAAACAAGAGAAGACATACACGCAGCTGTAAGCGGTTGCAAAAGCAAGTGAAATCCACCACCTTTACTGATCGCGTATCACGCTGGCAAATGACCTGATCCGGACAGATGCGCAAGGCGCATTGACCCAAACACGGAACAACGTTTCAAAGCAGGAACACAGAATGTAACGGGAGATGGGGACGACAGCGAAATGACGCAGAGTTACGGATGACCGACGTCATTAACGAAGGACAAAGCTTTTACCAACCGCAAATGAACGGGAACACATTTACCTGCAACAGCTTGTAAAAGGCGTTGCACTCCAGTTCGTCTCCGGACATCCTTGTTTGTGGCGTTAGTACGGCCTTCTGGAGAATTCGAAGCTCTTCAAAATGAGTTCGATCGCGCCGTAACGATGCTCTACGTCAGCTGCCAGTAAAACGAAAGCCCGTGGTCTGACGTAGGGAGCGGCGTGACTCAAGGCGTTGGGCGACGCGCGTTGATAACGTTACACATTCCTGCCGCCCGGCTCGACTGAAGGCAGATGACACAGGGCTTATTCTGATGGATCGACTCGCAGACCAGGCGCGCTCCTTCCGTCTTCTCGAATAGGCAGGAACGCGGCGCCCGTCCAACAAAGCCAGTGAGCGGACGAAAGCGGACGAAACTACAGACATTCCGTGAGCGCAAACATCTGTTCCGGATCGCATCGGTAGCGGAGCATATGGACGAGTTGACGTCAACGAGCGTCCTGTCGCGCTATGTGCCTGCAGGCGGCGCTAGTGAACATTACCAAATCAAAGCACCATTAGCGGGAATAACGTTGGCTGAAATAGGGCTGCTGATAGCCTGGTTCATACGGATATCTGACGAATATCAAAATCACTATAATGCGCTAAATCCTACATATATGTACAATACATAATCATGAGAAGTTGCACTGCTTTACATTCACGTGCAACATTTTGAACACGTGAGCGTTGCATCCTTGACGAGCAAAGAGGTTACAGGGTCCATTTGCATTCGCTTAATGACTCGTAGGTGAAAGCTGTCTTAATTTTTTATCTCGTCGACGTATTGATCCAATTGAACCTCACCCACACCCCTCAAAAAGGTATGCTCTTAACATGGTTTTGCACAGCTTCCGTGATCCGCCAGCCTTTCACCATGCAAGCTGTAGACCAAGCGGTAACCAATGCGGTAACACTACACAAATGGTATCATGTGATGACGTCATCATGTGACGCCACTTAGTGACGTAATCATCCTGCGTTGACGTCCTTGTGGCAGGATGATTCCGTGCAATGTTCTGTGAACGTTGGTTCTGTGCGTCACTGGTGTTGCCACCGATTCGGGACAGAGATATATAGTCAATTTCTGCGTTTGATGGGGCATCTAAACGCATATAACAAACCGTGTCAAATCAATCCACAGACACGCAGGCGGAAATGTTAGAGCTTTCTTGTTTGTTGCCCTGACGCTGCGCCTTGTGGATAATTAATTGACTGCTGAATGAAACAATCATTCATTCATATATATATGACGCGAGATTAACACGAACGTGATTTTTTTTCCTCGAAGAAATTATAGTTCTTGAAATTAAATGTCTTAGTCGTGTTGGTTTGATGACAAACGTAAATTAATGCACGCCAATGGCTCAAGAGTGTATAACAGGGTCGCGTATGCACGACATCGTTATAGATGATATTTTCTGACGGAATCCCGTCTGTCGGGGACAAGTACACATACATAATAAAAGGGTAGGAAGCATATTGCTCAAGTCATTATTCAGACTGCGGAAAAACGACGTCTTGGTGAGCCTGAATAACTTGAAGCAGATAATGGCGTTCATGTGCGTCGCGAGCGACTTCTAGGCTACACAATAATTACGGGCTAGATCTTCTGGCAGCCCCTGTGGTCACCCTAAGCCACCCTATAGTACTTCCCACGGGCTGCCAACAACCCGTCAGCTCTCATTCCTTTATCCGTTTCACCGCACTGGAAAGCAGAACTATCGCTATATCCCCCTCCCCCATATAGTCACTTTAGATTGCACAAAGTCTGCCCCATACTTTTACTTAATAGGGAAAGGGGGGGGGGGGGCGAGGTGACGAATCTTCGTCCCCCATCAAGGAAAACACTGAGCACACCTACGTGAACAGCTGTGACCATATAAACATTCACTTGATACTATAGCGCTGTGCCCTCGTGTCATATTTTGCATATCCTTGTTTCTTTGTGCGATACGTATATACGAGTCCTTTGTGGTGTAGCAGAACACAGTTTCGCTCACGCGTTCAGCATCGTTCATGGTAACAGACAGTACATATACATGATGTGTTGCAGAGTCTCCTTGGTTTCAGTGCCTTGAATTCGTTTCTCACTACTTCATTTCGCTGCAAGCTTCCCCCGAAAAAAAAAACAATAAAACAAACCTGAAGGACACTTGAGTTTCCCCTCGAGAGTAGAAACGTGATAGCGTAATCGGGCCCCTTACACCTCGCCTTCAACTGCACCCGCATGAAATGGAACACTTGCGTAACATGAGACGTTTCAAAGTATCCCAGAATACCTATTGCAAGTGCATTTGCGAAGTGCCCACCATACGCCATAAGTTTTTTTTTTTTCTGCACCCATTACATGTCCACTACGTGTGTCACACCACACGAACTTGCACATTTTGTAAAAGGTGAGAGAATTTAAAACGCCCACTTGCTGGGTAATATATATATATATATATATATATATATATATATATAATGTTACGCCACGTATGTGCCGGACGAAGAAGGAAAAAGAAGCAAGGGGTGTGGAAGAAGAAGATCATCATCATCTGCCTGGGCCGATACGGCTCGTCCCTCGAACCGTGTATCAATAAACCCCCAGACGCCTACTGAGGTCGTAACAGAGTGGTGGAAGGTGCTGGGTATAGGAACCAACGACGGGACCGCTACCCCTCGGATTTCGCCGGAGTCGTCGCCTCGCCGGCCTGCCTCCTTCTTTGGCCATCATGCCTGACGAAACAGAAGCTCGGGAACCAGTCCCCAGCAGTTCTTGGCCGTATCACAGAGAGCCACGAACCTTCTCCGGGAGGGCCAATGACGACGTGGACTCATGGCTCAAACATTTCAAGCGAGTAAGCAACTGCAACAAATGGGATGCTGCCTCCCAACTGTCACGCGTTGTTTTCTACCTCACTGATGTTGCCCTCGTTTGGTATGAGAACCATGAAGATATTCTGACAACATGGGAACGCTTTGTTGAAGAAATCAAGAAGTGTTTCGGTAACTCAGCTGCAAAAAAGAAGCTTGCCGAGCAGAGTCTTGCACAGAGGGCCCAGCTATCCGGTGAGACCTGCACCGTGTATACTGAAGAGATTTTGAGGCTGTGTAGGGAAGTCGATTCCAGCATGTCGGAAGAGGACAAGGTGGGGCATTTGCTGAAGGGAATTGCAGAAGATGTTTACAACTTCCTTATTAGCAGGGAAAGCCTGACTTCAGTGTCTGACGTTGTACGGCACTGCCGCACGTTTGAAACCCTGAAGCAGCGCAGAATAGCGCCTAAGTTTGGTCGTCTGGCAAATGTCACCTCAGTAGCCAGCATAGAAGCGGCCTCAACTGGTGACCTTTCGGCAACCATCCGCCAAATTGTTCGGGAAGAGTTACTCAGACATGGCGAAATGACACGTGAACGGGCAGCTGCCACGTCTCCATCCTATTTCCCGCAGGACACCACTGCCCCACAGCTTACAGTTTATGAACATCCATCCGTCAACGCAACGGAGGTTGCAGGGCCTCGGCGTATTCAGCAGTCAAGTCCGGGTTTTTACGAGCGATCACAGTACCCTCAACGTTTCCGTTCCGTACGCCCATACCACCCACCGACAACTGATTTCATTGAATCTCGGGCTTACGCGAACGCTCGCAGACGTGAACACTTCGAAGAACGGCGACGACCTCGTCCTGCGCCTGTGTGCTACAACTGTGGTCTGACTGGTCACATATCGAGGTATTGCGATCGTTCGCGCATACCACGCTATGATCAGTGGACAAGCTTGACCGATAAACCTGCTGTCCCACCTTTTCAAGGACACTGGCCCACCGACTCAAGACCCGGCAGCAGCTTCTGGCACGGACACTGGCGCAACAACTCCCCTGCCTCTGATCGAAGTGTGACGCCACCTCCTGCGCCTCGATCCCACCGGTCTCCATCGCCACGGCGCCGCCCATCGTCACCACATCAGGAAAACTAAACAGTGCGGCCGATGGGGGTGAGGTCGCTGGTGACTTGCTGCAAAACGAAATACCCCCGTCTGTGTTGATGTTCAAGAACAAGGTAGAAGTTTTTGTTGATGGTGTGTGTACGATGGCTTTGGTGGATACTGGTGCTACAGTTTCGATTATGAGTGCTGCTTTTAAACACCGTTTAGGACAAAAGGTGATGTTTTTGTGGGAGAAGGCAACAACATTCTGTGGCGTTGGTGGTAACTCGCTGTGTCCCATTGGTGTCTGTACCGCAGAAGTGTGCTTGGGTGATCAAGTGTTTGTCACAGAGTTTACGATTCTTCCAAGGAGCACACACGACATAATCCTGGGGATTGACTTCCTTCGAATGTGTGGCGCCACTGTTGATTGTAGAAATGGAGAGGTGTACATATGTGATGCTGCCCCTGGAGAACTATTAGAGAATTCAGACAGGGAGCACGGTGCGCTCCGGGTCAGTGAAGATAGCATTGTGCCGGCATTCTCTGCAGTCTGTGTTCCTGTATACTCTTCACGCATTGAAAACAGTGACAGTGCGTTCGACGCATTAGTGGAGCCCTTTCATCTCAGTTGCATTAAGAAGAACACATTGGTGCCGCATTGCATAGTGTCACTCGTTCAAGGACGCACAGGACTATGGGCGGTAAACTGTTCAGCTGAGTCGGTGGTTCTACCAGGAGGACTGAAGCTTGCCAAGTTCAAAACATACTCACCGATGGCAGTGGCTGCCCTCAGTGATGCTCCAGGTGGGCCTCAGCCAATACTTCTACGGCCGATTCAAAACTTTTACCTATGATCGACAAGTCACTTACTACTGACAAACGCCGCATGCTTCTGGACGTTTTGTCGAAATACGTGGCGATTTTCGATTTTTCCCATGACCATGCGCCCTCGATTCCCGCGTCTCGGATTCTCCACAGGATAAACACGGGAACAGCACAGCCCATCCGCCAGAAACCCTACCGAGTGTCGCCGTCTGAGCGCAAGATAATTGATGAACAAGTGCGTGATATGCTGCAGAAGGGTGTCATTCGAGAATCATCGAGTCCGTGGGCGGCTCCCGTGATTCTAGTCAAAAAGAAGGATGGTACCTGGAGATTCTGTGTGGACTATCGCCGTCTAAACTCCGTCACAAAGAGAGATGTCTACCCTCTCCCACGCATTGATGACGCTCTAGACTGCCTCCATTCAGCATCCTACTTTTCGTCCATAGACTTACGCTCAGGCTATTGGCAAATACCTGTGCATTCAATGGACAAAGAAAAGACGGCTTTCGTTACTCCGGATGGACTATATGAATTTAACGTGATGCCTTTTGGTCTATGTAACGCGCCCGCTACATTTGAAAGATTCATGGACACCATTCTGCGCGGCCTGAAGTGGAACATCTGTATGTGTTATCTTGACGACGTTGTTATCTTCGGGCGTACATTCAGTGAACATAACGAAAGGGTAGAGCTGGTTTTGAAAT